AGGTTAAAGTACATACATACACCCCAGAACAAGAACCTCACAATTGGTGGAGAAGTTGGGCAACTTTTGCCTTTTTTTTTTGTCATAATATATATACATAAGATATATATATACATAAACATATAAAAATATAAACGAATTTACGTCTCGTTTACGTAAATAAATTTTTTTTCTCTTTCTTTCCTTATTTACATATATATCGATAAGAAGATACACAGAAAGATAAAAATATAAACGAATTTATCTATCGTTTACATATATTAAACTATTTTTTTTCTTTCCTTCCTTATTTCCGTATATGTATCGATAAGAATATAGACAGAAATATAAATACATAAACGAATTTATCTTTCGTTTACATTTATTAAAATATTTTTTTTCTTGCTTTCCTTATTTACGTATATACCGATAAGAATATATACATAAACTTCTATGAACATAAACGAATTTAAATATCGTTTATATAGATAAATTTTTTTCTTTCCTTGTTTAATTATACATCGATAAACTTTAACTATCTATATATATATAAATATATACCTAAATCATTTTCATCCGAAAAGTTTAACTACAAGAAAATTAAAAAGAAATAAAACATACACATATATATAAATATATACACATACTCATATTCACATATCATGTCGGGATTAGAAGACAAATTGAAAATTGTTACATCAGTATTAAATGAATCACTAGAGATACCATCGATAGATGATAATGCTATTCATTCTTCTACAAGAATTATAGAAGAAAGCGTGGAAAAAGTTATTATTAGCCGAGGTAGATACGCCTTGAAACCTGAAATATATCAACAAACTAATACACAACTTTTGGTAACTAATAATACCGATACCGAGATCAGCAATCTAGGACAACACATAATCATTGAGAATACAGATCACATACAACAATACATTGATACGAATCAATCAAATAAAATTGAATTGGAAACACATCCACAGAGCATGGATGAAGTAAATGATAAAGACAAAATCATACAAAATGATGATAATGTAATTGATGAGAGCTTTGATGTTTTCATCTTAAAAAACTTTAGTCAGTTTTCTGGTAACAGTGATGTTGTACTATGGTTAGATGAAACAGAAGAAAAGTTTAATCAGTTTTGTATAGCAAGAAATCTTCGATATTCATCAATTTCGTTATTAGTTAAAGGAGAGGCTAAACAAATATATATACAACATCGCAAAAACATCCACACTTTCGATGATTTCTACGAAATATTGCTATCGTCTTTTAAATCTAAATCTAATCATCTCAGTACATTGCGCTTAGGCCAAGATGATACTCTCTTAAATAAAACAAAATGTGATGTATGTCATACAAAGTTAGCTAATGAATCAAACACAAATTTTTCGAACAACAGTCATCAATTAAGCTCAGCGCATCACTCACTCATTCAAAATTCTGAATCTAACCTTGGTGCCACCAAGTTAGTTGGTGAGTTACCAGTCACAACGATAAATACGTTCTCGCTTAATTCATCATTAGCTCAAACAGATCCCATTCTCAATGATCTTCGTAAAGCTATTGTTGAGAATCTCATTAAAAATCCCAAAACCTTTAAGGGAGAAAAGGATGATGTTAACAAATGGTTGGAAGACATTGAGCACCTGTTAGAGATTGCACACATTCCTCACCTAACTCGACTCGATCTCATATCGTATTCATTACGAGGAGATGCACTAGAGTGGTTTAAAACTAACCGTTCTTCATTTACTTCATGGAACCTCTTTGTCACATCCTTAAAAAAGGCTTTCACCTCCAATTTTCACGAAGAAATTGCTTTTAAAAAGTTAGAGACATATTCTCAAGGTCAGAATCAATCAATTCGTACCTTTTTCAATGATGTCTTAAAGTTATGTAAGGAAGCTGATCCAACAATGAGCGAAACAACTAAATTAAAAACTCTGTTGAATAAAGCTAAAGCTAACATACAGTACGAAGTTCGTAAGAAAAGACCTACTACGACACTCGAATTCTTAGAATACGCAAAGGAGGTGGAGGAGTTCATGCAGCTTTCCAGTATATCGCTCAATGATTCTAATAATTATTTAGATGATCCCCGAGTTCAAACTCCAATGACATCTTCATTATCCTATACACCGTCTCCAACATATAATCAGTCATTTTCTAATTCATCAAATAACTATTCACCACAGTATTCTCGAAATTATGACAGAAATTCACGTTTTCAAAATAATCAAAATCGATATTCTCCTCCACGGAATTCTTATGTTCCACCCATGTCATCATCACAACCTCAATCACGATTGAATATTAATTCACAACCGCCTCCACAAAGATATGTGAATAATTCTAATCAGACTAATAATCGTCAAAACGTTACCTCATCAAACACGAATCGTGTGACTAATACTCCTTCTCGACAACCAACAGCAAATACTATTGATGTATCACACTCATCCGAGGGTACAGCTCAGGAACAAGAGATATTTTCATCTGTTCTATGTAGTCAATGTAATCAACA